TACAGTACATTCTTTTGTACTTGAAATGGATTGCACAGGAAAACAGCTGCCAAGCTGCGTGAGACAAAGAATTTTTTTTCTACTTGCTGAAACTGACAGCATGACATGACATTTTGACACCCAAGTCCTACACTAAATATCAGGCTCCCATCCATTATCCAAACAGGCACTGGAGTAACCTGTAATCACAAAGCTCCTATTCACAGGCTTGTGTTTACAGTACATAACAGACAGATGAGCAACCCTGCACAGCACTTTCACAGCATACTTTTGACTAGAAAGACAGCTCATAGCCACTAGCACCTACTGCAGTCCATGTAGAGGGTCGTGAAGACCTCCCTGCAACATTAGCTACATTGTGAGGGCTCTCAAAAAGGCCAGAGAGCCTAACACTATGCAACCTACAGTGCAGGGACCCCTTTCCATGTCTGTGGTGCATTTAGAGTGACCAAGGCCTGGGAGAAAACCCTTTCCAACAGAATGCATTTCTTCTCTCTGCCACTTAATTCTCCTCCCATTTCCAGACAGTTTTCCTGTGGCTACGTTACTTTCTTAATACTCAGCACAGACATCTGCTGGTCAAAGTGCTAACGGCAACTGAGCAGTAAAGTAAGAACCCAAAGGGGAAAACAGGCTTGGATTTTGTCTGCATATCAAACAGCACAACCCCAAGTAACACTGTCTTCCTAAATGCTCTACACTGCAGTAACTGTCAAAGAGAACACTACATGGCAAAGCAGGATTCCTCTTCCCAGCTGGGAAGAGGGGGAGGGAAATTAGCTGTAGGCAGTGCTCTCAGCTGACACAGCCCCCATGGGCAGCTGCATCCTTGCTAGGGTTAAGGCTTTGTTCTAAAATTGTACACTGCTGCAAACACTGTGCTAAACGGATTTAACAACTAGTTTCAGGGCAGCAAGAAGGTCTCTAGCTAGTACAACTCACCGAGTTAACTAGAAGACACCGAAGCGTCTCCAAGCACACAAAAGAGTCAACAAAAAGAGATGCTCAGCACAATGAAGTTGAAGATAGCTCAAGCACAAGTTCCCTAAACCATTGAGAAACTGTCTCCAATTAGCCTTTTGTCTCACTTCCTTCGATAGTTCCTTTCCTTCTAGAACGGCTGTCATTTTTGGCTAATTTAGGCAGAGAGCAGCTGTTTGCCCTTCCCTGGGAATCACCTGATGACTAACTAACAAAACTTTTGCCCTTGCTCTGAAATTCATGTCACTTAAATCATTAATGAGACATCAAGAAAATATCTGAGACGCATGCAAATAAGCAGGAAAAGGCGCTATACAGTCATTAGACTGATGTTAGCCTTACTGCTAAAACATAAGTGAGAGAAAGGAGATTGTAAGGAGAGAGAAAACACTGCACCATTTTTCTTCCTAAGTACTTTTTAAGTAGAGCATAAACAGTACCTCATTGTCACCCGAGTACTTCAAATAAAAGGAAAAACCTATTAAGCTACCAGACAAGGTGGCAAGTTGATTACACTCCTGTCAGAGGTACTCCCAAGCAAGTTTTCTGTAGAAACATTAAATGCATTTTTATTTCAGATTAACTGTTAGCTGAACAGTCTGAAAAACTTTGTACTACAGCAAAACAACCACTGGCATAGGAATTTGACACTGCAGGTATCTGTCTGGCAGTGTCTTTCAAGTCGTCCAAAAACATTCCTGTAAATCAGGATGAGGTCAAGTGATGACAGAACAGCAGTGCATCAGGAGCACCAGGACTCCCCTGAACCTATTCCATACAGACACTCATTCCCCTCACTATCATCATGAACAACCTCTCACTTACAGCACCTCTGCCTTTGATGATTACGAGGTTGTATATTAGAATTAACGTTGTTCCCCTGAATTCTCTTACGAGAAGCAAACTACTAAATGGATTGCTACTGCCTGCAGGTACAGTTCTAACAAGGACAGATGGTTTAACAGAAAGACTTCAACAACACTGACTGCTATAACCAGATTATTTATCTATATTACACTTAATATCTAGCTCTAAAGGGAGTGCAAAACCCCATAAACGCACACTAAACATCCAAGACCAAAAACTCCTTTAAAGGAAGTGGAGCTGCTTCAAGACTCTTCCAAGCACTCACAATCAAACATCCCCTTTTCTAAGGTCAGACTGACTTGAACACTTTCTCATAAAGAGAAGACATCTATTTGGGATAGTTCTGTTATAAGAGGCTACTTAGCCCTGGAAAATTAATCTCTCCTTACCCTTGGAAGAATAATTACATAAAATCCACCTACAATAATCATGATGCTTCCTGAACCACAGGAGTCACCAGCTTTCCTGAAAAACTATTCACAGTACAGCTGTCCAGTAACAAAACAGAATAAACTCATACTGCATTTCTCAGGATACACTTACAAGGCACAGCACAGCACTTTCCAGTTAAACCTTGCCAGCAGGGAGCAAACTAAACAGGTCACACTGGCAATACAGCTGAATGAGTAAGTCCAGCCAGGGTTAAAGAACCAGGGAGGTTAAAAAGCCAGGGAGGGGGTTGACCTGGGAATCCAACTAATGAAAACCCTTTTCCACAAAAGAAGTCCACTTCACTGCTTATTAACACCTATGGGCACCTCACAGCCAGCAACGGGCAATTCAACACGCTCTCTCTAGTTAACAGAAAATGGTGGAGACAACTGCTATTTAAACCAAGTTCAAAGTCACCAATAAAGCTTCCCTCCTGCATTGTTAAGCACAGAGAATAACTCTGGTCTTAACGCCCTCATTAAGAGGAAACGTTAAGTTTGCAAGTCATCAGTCACACAACAGGTGACAAAACACACCTATCAGAAAGCCCCCTCCCCTTCCCTGTAAGCAGAAGCCCTCCCTGCTACCATAGAACAGCTGAAGATTTGGCATGTTGGCACTTTTTCAATAAAGCTACCGACCCCCCAGCAAAGAGGAACAGAGTTAAATGCAGCCCTTCTAATGGGAGGTCACGCACCCACAGCAGTTTTACCATGCCTACCCCAGAAATCACCCAGCAGTGACTGAACACAGCTGGGAGCTCCTGGATACCTGGAGAAAAAACTGGGTTTCAGTTATGGAACTGACCTTCAGGCTAGGCTACAAGAAGCAAACACTCGAGAACATTCTCAGATTTGAAACAAACAAAACCAGCTAACGCGTTCTATCAGGACGGACCAAACCAGGTCCTCGTCACGCAGATCGCTGTTCGGCCAGCACTGTTAAGCCGCCCTCTCGCCCAGCCCTACGGACAGGTTCGCGGATCCCTCCGAGGCTTCTAGATGCCACGAGGCATCGGCGTCGCTGTAGTTCTTGCAGCGGCCGCCAGGTGGCGCCGCAAATCCGCCCAGATCGCAGAGCCCTCAGCTGCGCCGACGTGCTGCCGGGATAACGGGTGCGTTGTGTACCAGCACCGAAGCCATTTTGAGGTCACAGGCTCCTTTTCCAGCCACGTTAACGGCGCCCTGAAGCCATTAATGGGAGGCTTTGCTCTTCTTTCCACCTCAAGTTAGCTCATATCGGGCCCCAAAACTGGACAAATGAACCTTCCGAGTCCCGAAAACACAACACTCAACCTTCATTTTCAGTACCAATGAGCCCAGCATAAAGATGGAAAAACACAACTCAGCCTGAGGTTTGAGCACCAACGTCTGCCAAACAGGCTAGGTTCTGAGCCCCCAAAACACGTTAATTAATGTTACAAGCTGTTAAAGGAGCCTTTTTGAAGCCTCTATTTCTTAACCCCCAAACCAGCCGAGCAAGGCTAGACCCAAGCCCTAAGAGCACAACGCTCAGTCCCAGTTCTCAAGCCTGCAGAGCAGCACAACACACCTGCTTTCAAGCCCTAAGAAAGCAGGATTCAGCCTCCCTTTTCAAGACTTAGAAAGACACAATTCAGTCCGTTTCCAAGATCCCAAACCAGACGCAGGGAGCAGCACAAAGTCCACCTGAACCCCCAGAACAGGACCAAAGCTCAGAACCCGCTCTCCCCACACTAACCTCAGCCACCAGGCTCCATCTGCTGCTGCTACCGCCGCTGCTTACATCCGAGGAGCCGAAGAACTGCAGCGCTCCTGAAGCTACTGAGAAGCTGGCTCGGGCTGTTATGACCTGAGACCGTTAGGAACGGCCACATATGGGCAGAGCCAGCAGGTGTGCCTCGTGCGCCTGATGGGCCGTTGGTAACAGCTGTGGGGACGGGGCGCGGTGTGGAGGCACGGCTGTTGGAGGCAGCGTTGCGAGGGGTTTTGTGTGGGAATGTTTCTTCTCTGCCCTCGCTCAGCCTGAATTTGCTGTTCAAAGCCAGGGGGAGTTAGCCCGTCTTTGTTCAAAGGCTCTCCTGTAGCTAGAATTGTGTTTGGAGAAACCATCTCCTGTAAGGATCTGGGCGTTCAGATAAAGGGCGTCAATGACTGAGGTGGAAAGGTTCGTGCTTCAAACACAGGAGTTTGCTGCACCAGCTGTTAAAAATGCTGCTTAAAATTTAACTCCATTTGCTTTCCAGATACTCCGCTGAACCTTTTTCAGTTGAAACTGGATTTTTTAAGTCAGCATGTGGTCCCAGTTCAAGGCACAATAATAAATACTGCTCCAAGATTTTTCCTTTGGGATTTTAGAGAAGTCTCTGTGTGAAAGAGAACTTATGTCTCTCTCATCTGATGCTGCTGCAATTTTAATTGGAATTGACTTAATCACACTAAATTTCCTACTGATGTAGTCACCATCTGTAATCCTATCTTTCTCAGAAAATCCTTATAAATGTCAATTTAAAAGCAAATATGAAAGAATCACAGCTGGAGGGATGAGGGGACCCTTGCTGCAAATACAAGCAGGGTGAGATGGTTCATTCAGCTCCCCAGATTTTCTGCTGAAAATACTTTCTGCTTCTGCAAGGTTTTTTCAGCAGCTCTGATAAACTTCAAAACTAGCACAGATGGAGGGCTCATCTCTCACGGGCGTTCTTCCAAAATGCTAAATATTCTTATTTTACCTTTTTTTTCCCCCCCCAGATGAACACACACAAAGTATATTTTCTTCACAGATGAATTATCTGCATCGTTAGTGGCAAAGTCATGGCAGGCATGGGCTGTGTTATTGAGTTGTAGTGAATGTTCACAAGCACTGACAACTCTTTCAGGTGGACTTTGTACAGTAAGGTCCCAAAAAAGACCATTACACACCTATACTCAGCAAGGATAATAGCAATTCTTCTTTAAACCATTTATTCAGAGAAAGAAACAGATCCCTTAACTCGGTAACTTCACATCACTACTAATATTTTTAGTTCAGGTGCTTTAAAGTGTGTTTTATAAAAGTAAATTATGGATTTAGAAATAGCAAGTTGTCTACAAGCAATATCTCATTATTTGTACGGCAACTAAACATTTGTAAGGAAATATGCACATAATGCAGAGTGATTGTATTTTATTGTTGAGTTAGAAAGGGAACCTCCTACCAGTATCACAGGCTGCTCTAATTACATGCTGATTTTTTAATTACTTTCACCTGCATGCACCATTTCTTCCATGCATAAAAAAAAACAAGTACACTATCACATCAGCAGGTGAGATCTAACTGTCTATCAGGACACTATAATCTGCTTCCAGAGAACAATGCAGTGCAAAGGCATTGATGCTTCATATACTAGCAGAGGATAATAAACACCTTAAAATGACAGATTAAATCAGTCTGCAGCAGCAGCAGTGTAATCCAGCAGCCTGGGAAATAGGAATCACAGCCTCTTTTTGAAACTTTAATTTTGATTAAAATGAGTCATGCTATACCTCGGTACTTCCATTTTCTTCCACTAGTTAAGACTATGTAATAAAAAAGAACTTGAAAAAGTTGAATTTAAAGTCCATTTCTATTTCCTCCTTTCTGAAAAGTGCACGCATACTTATCCATGACAGCTCTCTTCTCTTGAAGTCTTTGTGTGGCAAATGGAAGTCAATGTATGGCATGTTTGTTTTGTGGCAGAACACTGTCATGTTACATCTTGGAGGGAGAGAGAGAAGAGCAGTGGAAGTGGCAGAGGTGGTATCCTATCATGCCCTGACCAATAGCACTCTGCAGAAGTCCTCTCTAAACTCCTGGGAACCAACTACTCAATCGCCAGTATTGTTCTCTTATGCATTATTTTAGCAAGTCAGCTTGCTGTACTCCTTTCAAGATGGAGTTCAGATATGGTACTCTGTGACAGGAGCACTCCGGAGTTCCTAGAATTGATTCAAAGGAAAAATCATCCAGCAGCAAATCTTTTCTCTTTCACCTTTTTTCCTTCTATATTCCAGCTTTATCAATGCCATATTATATTTCACACTAACTATGAACACCTGTTTCTAGGAAAGGGCTGGTGTATCTTCCTTCACAATGTCATATACTCAACTGTGCTTGGTCCTTGCTATCCACCTTCAGAGTGCATCGTTGCACCTCTCTATTCTACCTATGCATGCATGTCCTGGAGAAGCATTTTTGTTACAGACAAACAATGTTAGACTTTTGTTCAGGAGGAACTTCCCAAGTGTTGGAAAGTCACAGGAAATGCTCAAAAGACAGACATGGCTGTACAAGTTCTTTCTGCAGCATGCGACATCTTAAAAGCAAAGGCTGAGGTTTCTGTAAATATGCTGTTTCAAATATTTCAAATCTGAGAAAGTGTTACACGTGCATATGACTGCAGTAGTCTCAGCGAGTTGCGTATGTGTATCTGACAAGGGAGTTTTAATTACATTGCTTTTAGCCCCTCTTCACTAATGATTCATTCCACTTCCTAAGTGCATCAGGACTCTGGAAACATCTGAATGTGTTTAATCTACTCTGAGGGGCGTAGGGGATTAAGCAAACCACTCAGGAACTTTCAAAATGCATTTGCTTTGACTCAGAAACCACTTTTCAGTTTTAAACAGCTTTTATATCCTATTGTCAGTGATTTTTATTAGTACCTCTTCCACAAGTCACAGGAACCTGAAAGTGTTTTAAACCTGTTTTCCAGAGAAAGACATGGTGAAGGCAATTGTTTTTCCTCAGAAAGAAGCATAAGCCTCCACAGAGGGCTCTGAAGTCCCTTGAGCCACCTGCACTGATGTTAACTCTGTGAAGTACATGTTAAATAAGAACACCATGTAAAGAAAATTTTGTTCTGCATATTCGGTTTTGTTAGTTCTAAATTACAAAAATTTTGTAATGGGTTTTGAAGATACAACATATGAAGGGAAAAGAGCTTTCTTCTAGAGAGTGAAGTTTGGGGATGTACGTATTCCTTCATTTTGTAAAGGGTAAAATAACAAAATCAAGGATCAAAACAGAAAAAAAAAAGCCTTATTATCTTAAAGATTTTATTGCTACATGCTCCCCAGTACAACAAACAGGATCAGTAGTGTACACTTTAATGAAAGAGAAAGTAGCTTGGTAGAAAAGAAAGCAAAAAGGTACAATGATTATCTACACCCACATTGTATATATGTAGAAGATAAAGACAGAGAATTTGACTTTTTGGAAATTTCCAAGTAATAAAACACACCCTATTTGTTTGTTTGAGGCTCAGGGATTGTCTGTACAATATATTTAATACTAATTTCTTTGACCTTCAAAAGTCTTGCAGAAAGGTAGCAGCAATTCTTTAGAGGTGGTGAGTCAGTACTACAGTGGGTTAGATAATGCACATCACAATGTAAGATGCGCAGTGACCCCATACTCCCTTGAACAGGACTCATCTTCTTAAATTTCATTTACAATAAAAGTCTTCTGACAACAGTTTACATCCTTACCTTATCCTAGTCATCCAGTGATTACGCATCATCACCTCAGAAGTTTCTTTCCAGAATTTAACTTTTGGAGTCCTAATTTGGAATGCTACTGTTTTATGGTAGGTTAGAGGCACACATCCGCTGTTCTTTCAGATAGGGCAATCATGAGGACTTCTTATGGGGAAACAAAAATTGCACATGAATATTTAATATCTCACTTTGAAATTAAAGATGCTTGTAATAAAAAAAAAATTGTCAGACTTTTTTTTTATTTTTAAGAATAAGATCAACAATTTCTCTACAGTAGTTTAGTTAGCTTAAATTTCTGTTCTATCCATATAACATAGCATGTACAAGTATCTAGTTACATCTATTTTATCTTGGCAAAAAGGATAGTCAACTGCCCTTAGTGTAAATATTTAGTACATAAAATACTATCAAGAATTCAACTTTTAATAAATATCTTTAGTTCTCAATCCTATATACAAGTACTTTACAGCAACACACAGGAGAGAGTGTGATTGGGTGGACTGTGAACAAGATGGTTATTGACATAAATTACTAGTTCGTTATTGCAGTCAGATGCATTGTGCTTGTGGAGATTTTGAGGTGAACCATGCTGAAAAATAAATATCTCTCTCACCTTTAAACCAATGCTTCCAATAGGAAAAAAATCTTTTAAGTCTTGCCACAGCTATTTCTTCTTAGTGCTATCACTATGATGCTTTTTTAGCTTCATAAAAAACAGCTGGATCATCTGGAAAACACAACTTTTTGACTTGTGAATATTACAGTACTTACAGTATATACATGGTTTCCTACACTGGTCTGACCTCTTAGGCAAGAGGAGACTTAAGGGACAGCACTGCAACTCCTAACCAAAGCAGTGTTTTGCTCAGTGTAGGCTGCAAGTGTCAGTGTTCATTTCACAGGCACACAAAAGCATTTTTCTAACCTGTGACTGGAATTACACTAAAACGTCTAAACCAACTTTTAATGGGCAGGTGGCAATAAGCAGACTCATACTTTTAGAATTATACTTCTTTTTTTCCCCCTCTACTTAAAAATAAAGCATCACATTGTTGATATTAAAAAACAATCAAACAACAAACTCTTTCCTAGAATCAGTAGATGTAATTCGTATGAAAATGGAACTTATCCTTTTATGACAATGCTGCTTAAAAAATCAACTTGTGGAATGTAAATAAGGCAGTACTCAATGGCAGGCACCTAACAATTGTCCAGAATGTAACATAAGTAAACAGTTGTCTGACAGCACAAAACTCTTGAAAATAATACTGATTTTCTGCAATATACAGTATTTACACAACAGCTGCAAATGTGCTCATACAATATCCATTTATATAGATAAATTAGCAAAACAAGTCTTATTAATTCAGTTGTTCCACTGCAAAAGTATTTTGTATCATGTAAACGTTTGGGACTTCTTGTAGTGGGGTATTTTCTACATGTGAGTGTTTAAAAACAAGAATAGTGAGGTGACTACTGAGGACATGGCCACTTGCCCTGTACTAGAGCTTGACCAATGCCCTCGACAACTTTCGTGCACTGTTAGGAATATTCTTTGGTGCTTTCCTCCAACGCATTCAAGCTAAGCAGATGACACAGTATGGAAGGAGGACGGGAGCAACTAGAAAGTGAACCAGCACTTCTTGTTCTTTGTATTTACAAGGAGAATTAGTTGATGATCTGCAGCGTCCTGCTTGTAGAAAGCAGCATGCACCATAGTGTCCAGAAGTAAAGAAAGGAAACACAAAGCGAACCAAAGTTTCTTTCTGCAACTATTCTCCATGTGGCATTCACATTCATCTTTCCACAGTGGAGGACCTCGAAGGCCATCTCCTGTCAATTTGCCTCTCACTCTTCTGTGAGGTTCTTGATGGAGAAGGAGCACCCACTGCGGTGTTATTAGCTGACACCACAGGAACAGCTGCAACCAAAGCAAGGTCATTTGGAGGACCAAGACTGCTACTGTTGGCAGGTGGCTGGTGGAACAAAGCAAATAGCTTGGAAGTCTTGCTTGCTAGAGGAACTCTCCATTGTGGAAACTCAGCACCCTTAGGCTTTGTGTTTGACTGGGAGACATGTGTATCTGTATCCTCTTCTGCAAAGTGAAGCCTACCCAGGCCCCTTCTCCCTGGCAGGAACTCTGCATAATGGGGGACTAAAGGCGTTGGCATCACCAAAGCTCTAGGCAAATCACTTTGATCAAACATCACTTCCTCCTCAGTTTCAGCAGCTTCGGTAAGGAATGGTGGTGGGAGAGTGCTGCTGTGCTTGCTGCAGGACTCACAGCACAGCTTGTTGTAGCCAGGGATGGAACAGTAACGTGCAAGCACTTCCATCTGACAGAAGATAGATTTGTCTCCCATACAGGGCTCATCTGCAAAACAAATGCAATGCTGATTGTAAACCTAATGAAGAGCACTGAAATACTTGTACAGCATTTAGATTGGCACTGATAAAATAATGCCTGTTTCCAAAATGATGGGCTAGTCTGAGATGTTTCATCCATGAAAGAACTCACGAAGCCCCAGAAAATAAATCAGCCCCTTTAAAGAGGCAGCTCTGTGAACAACAACAAAAAAAATAATCATCAGTTACTTCAAAAATGTTGGCTTCTGTGCAGACCAGTAGCAAACAGAAGAAAGTCATGTTTGTGGAGGATTACAGACAGCAATTCACAGTGCTAACTCTCCAGTATCAGCCATTCTACCTGCCCCAAATCTAGCCTGAGGATATTATTTATCAATAAAATTAAAAACTGTTAAATCTTCCTTTAAAGAAATCCCAAGCAGTCATTTTGGGTGAAGTTGGATTCAATGATCCTTATGGGTCCCTTCCAACTTGGGATATTCTACAATTTCATGAACTCTCAAAGATGCCTTTTGCATTATCTCTTAAAATAAAGTGTTAGAAACATTTCTTAGTTTTTCAGTGACCCAAACATAAATGGAGAACTGACTGAACGCTTGTAACAGATAGGTCAGATGTAAGATGCCATCAGATCATGTGAAGCATTTCTTTCAGTCAGCAAAAGAAGACTTCTTAAAGAAGTCAAAGTTGTACTTGAGATCTCAGAAACATCAGTCTTTTTTTGAGCATTTGCTGGATACTTGTGTGGTGAGGATAGAGTTGCAGTCACGCTGGTCAAAAAAGGTAGAGAGGAAAACCTTACAACACAATAAGTCAGAAGAAATATAAGACTTTTATACTGGGTATAAAAGTATGTCCATACCCAGACTTCTTCATTGTGATCCATCATGTGAACTCAAAGGCAAAGTTCTAAGTTCTAGTGTCACTTGAATGGGGACAAACATTGAGAGTTTCTTAGCACTTGAGAGTTGGTGGCATTATTGAGCATTTACGTTTTTAATCTTGCAATCTGTTGTACCAACTATACCACCTAAATCAGGTGCAAAGGCTTTAGCAGCAGTCCAGAATGAGATGAAGAAAATACAAACATGTAATACTTCCCAGGACAGAAAACCAGCAATGAGGACAAATAAATTGCTTGGTGCATCCAGTAACTATTCAAATACTTTAGGGAGAGACTAGCAGGACATTTCCATTAACAGATTTTTCCTAAGATATCACAGTTTATTTGTAACAGTACTGATGGATTTTACTTAAAATAGAAGTATGCGAAACCATAATGTAAATGGCCAAAAGCTAATTCTGACCATTGAGAATATCTGTTCCATATGTGTCTTCCATTCATAGTTAGCAATTATTCAGTCAACATTTCAGAGAGCAACAGATGGCACGTAATGCCACTTATTAAGCTCTGAAATTAAATTAGCCTTCTGTACTGTGATATTTTCTCACTAGTATAGATGTTGTCTTACCACATGTCAACAGTATGTTAGGCAACCAAGTCTTCCTTTTTTAAAATATTAACTGTAGTCCAACCCCTCAATCAGTGTAGATCAGTTTAATTACACTGAATTCAGTAAAATTACACACTTGCATCAGTGGGCTTGTGGGATGCTGTTTATAAATAGCAAATTATATGACTTCAGCACATAATATAATTTTTTTCCTTGCTCCTAATCCTGATGTGATTCCTTGAATAGATGTTTATTGTTTCTTGACAAACCTGAGTTCAACCTGCAGATTTGCCTGAGAATATATGTAGTCCATGAAGGCACTATAAGACTATTTTCAGCAGGAATTAGCATGGGAAACTCAAGGGCTACATTCATAATTCATCTAAACTAGAAAAGCTAATATTGAAACACAAATCTTTGCATCATATATAGAGTAATAATTATGCGTCCATGTAAATGAGAAAATCTGATCTGGAAAATTATGACAGTCATCTTATTAACACACTGTGATTTAATCTATACATAAGTGAAATAAATATTATGACCTAAAATAACAAACAAACTCAAAAAAGAAAGAACCAAGTAATTATTTTTTCATTTCCATAATGGCAGCGTATCTTATTTTGTCCTGTTTTCTAATGGTTAATTTTTCTGGTATTGATTTGCAGTAGTTTTAATTTTGTGACTCAAATGATAGTGCAAAGATTTGGTTTTGTACTTATCTACTTCCAGTAGGTTCCATAAGTACAATCTTGGAGCTATATACTCACATAATCCCTTTTTTTTATTTTTTAGGTTAACTCTGCACAACCTAGTCAGCAATTTCCTATTCAGTATGGAAGTGCTTGTATCCTTCTGCTGATGATCACGGTAAAAATTCTCCTTCTCACAATTTGTTACTTGCTTCATGGTAACTAAGAGTAGAAGATACAAGAAGGTATATCGGTTCCCTAGTGAATCTTTAGAAGGTGAAGCTAGTTATTTAAATTGACGCAAAAATTTCACATTACATTTTAGAAGTGACACAGTTCTTACAAAAAGGATCGCTGTAATTGTACATTCAGTGGGATGCTGGGTGAGAGCATCTAGGCACTAATATTTGAAACAGCAGGTGGATATTTTTGCATTCTGAATCAAGAGTTGCAAAGAGAGAGCTCATAAAAAGACTATCCAAGGACCTGTTTATCAATTTATACAAGTAGAATGAAATCAGGTTATGTAATCTCTGCTGAGGCATATGATAGAAGTGGTGGCTCTTCTCCTGTACGCAGACATATATTTTCTAATGAAATGGAAGATGTAGATTAATATGCTTCATACTACAAAAAGAATCACACCGAGACAAATATTCATCACAGTTCCAGTTGAATTGAATTCTCAGCAATTTTGCATTTATACAATAAATCATTTGTCAAAAACATCTGCTGTAGACAAATATTTTGCTATGTCTAATGCCCTGAAAATCAAAATAGTAATCAAAGCTACACAACTTAAAAATAAACTACTACCACACTTTCCATGCATAAAGGGTTTACCTACATAAATATTACAGGATAATATCCATATTTTAGCTATATTCTCCTTAAACATAAACCACATTAAAAGAGTGTGATGAAAAAGATAGACTATTTGTTCTGAAAGAATACTGTCAGCTACTTAGCGCAGAGGCAGAAAATGATGCCTATGCTTGGTAAAAGCTACAGCCCAAATTCCCGAGCAGAATAGAGAGGTTTGCACTCAGAGGCTGGTATAATGTGTCTAAGGAGCAGAACCCACAAGGTACCCTGTGGTTTTGTCAAAGGTCTGAAGAACCTGGCCAGATGCAGCTGCCCTTGTAGTTAGCATTTTTATTAAGACTGGTTGTGCTGTAGGTTTGCTGCAGCAAGGCCAGATGGATCAGTACATGACCACACACATAAATCCTTCCTTCAGTGGGGCAAGTAAGATGGGGTGTGTATTAAGCATCTAAAAATGAAATAACAGAGTTTTAACCAATGTGATTCAAGAGCACTGGTAGAGGGCATGTATAAGGCCATCTACTGCTTATCTCCCATATTAGCAGATACTAAGTCTAACACGTCATTTGGCATTTGGCTCTGAGTATGACTGTGAAAAAGACACAGTAAGAGTGTTTTATGCCTAATTCTGAAAGGCTGGAATTTAACACTGGCCGTTAAAGAAAATCTCCGCTGATGCTTAAAATACAGATTCTTAAAGCTGATGCTTAAAGCACAAGATCAAATCTATCTGAATCATTTTCTGAAGATGTAGCCCTTATTTTAGCTTTGGAAATATTTCTATCACCAGTGAAAAATCAGTCCACAATGAATAAATAATTTTAAATCTGCTACTTGTTTATAAAGTCACAGACAGTGATTTGCTCCCACCTAGTGGATACAGAATCTCTTAACTGTTCACTGCTCCCAGAATCATTTCCTCCCTTGAGTCCTTTCACTGGCAACAGCAGAAAACAAATAAGAGCAAAGCATAGACTTTCACTAGACTTGTGGCAAGCAGTTACATGATGTCTGTAGGAAAACATACTGCACTTTCTAAGAACACTTTTTTCTATTTTTTCTATCAGCCAGTGGTCAGAATATTAGGACTATTGTGAGGGATTAAAAAAAAAACACAAATAAACCCAAAATCTAATAATGTTAATGGCTCAAAGGAACAAAGACATTTTTTTGTTGTTCATAAAAAGATTAAAAAACTTTAAAAAATTCTATGAAAATAATGTAATGAGATTCTTAGGAATCCTAGTAATACCTTACAGCTCAATGTTTTTGTATCTGTATTTTCATTTCTTTAATTGGCCTCATGCTGGGATCTAGAGGTCAAGTAGGGTCTACTTGGGACTGACCTTCATCTCCAGCACAAATTTTTGCAAATACAACTTAGGCTAATGTGTCCAACCCCCCTTTTTCAGTATGTTATAAGAGATGTGTGAGAATGTGTGAGAAACACAGATCACCCTGCGTCAGAATATCAGTATTGTTCTGGACTGAAAAACAAGGCACCATTAGCTGGAATAAAGCAGGGGGATCACCAGTGAATGATATATTTTCTAGCATGCAGGAAGTAAATAAGGTTGTGCGGTTGACATCTGACAGTGTGGTACCTTTAAAACACAGTACTATACAAATTTGGTATGTACACTATCTGATCGTAAACAGCTCTGACTCGTCTTAGAAACTAGTACACAGCGACACAGCAGGTTCACCAGGTAGAACTGAAACTTCAGGCAGGATAAAATAAAGTGTATTATTTTTCATCAGAGTTCACTCAAGTATGAAATCTAAGTCTCTAACCCTTTAACCGTATCATGCACTGACACACTGCACTGAGAATGGAAGGGTTACTCTCATTTGCTGCAATCAGTTTGTTTCCTTACCATTACAGGGAGGGAGTTTACAAACCCTCACTGATTCTGGCTTTTCTCCATCGCAATGGTCACCAGCACGGCATATGATCTGCCGGGTCTCGGTTCCCTCCCCACAGGTCACAGAACACTATGAAACAGACACAAGACAATTCAGGGTATTTCACAGCAATATGCAATAGTTAATGTGTCTAAAATAGCCCAGGGCTGGTTTTCACATCAGGCTATACATTCCAGCAGTTTGTTTTGAGAGCAGCCTTTAGTGAAGGTTGACATTATGGAAAAATATGTCAAGAAAGAGGATGGCATTTTCATCAGTCCTTTCTGCAATATCAAATTTATTATTAAAGTACATTATAGATTTTTCTTCTAAGTCTTTCTATAGCTTATTCCTTGACAGTGTAACAGAAAGAGAATAAAAAAGACTATGGAATTCTAACTCAGTGTTCACTGTGTTAGCTGTAGCATTCAGGTGTTTGTTCCTGTGACATCATAGGAATATTAACACTTGCAGAAACTCCGTGATTCCAATGCAAGTCCACATTGGTACAAAAAAAAAGTTATGCTATCCTCAGAATTGGGGAAATGAAAAGTTGGAAAGTTGACAAAAACAAAATGTCTACATTTGTTCAGCAGGAATTATGTGTTTGACACTGGGGATATTTTCAGAGTTTGTTTCTAGAGAATTTGGGAGAGCTATAGAAGCCCAAGAGCCAGGAAAACATTATCTACTGCTGATTTTCACGTTTTGGAGATCTCCGACCAGTGCAGGCTGGAACGTTCACCACAGGCACAGCTCCAACATCAGAGGTGTGAGGTGCTACAAAAGGTACATTACTCGCTCACAATTGCTGCTTGCCTACCTCAGACCAGGGCCCAGCTTTCCACTGTGCAGGGCACGGTACTCGGTTGCATGGCCTGCGACTCTCAGGGCGATCTCCACTACAGTACTTGAAATGGACAGAGCGGTTTGCACCATCATGAAGGGGCTGAATGCAACGCACAGTGCGGATCTGGTAGCCTGAATTCCCACAGGTTTTTGTGCAGTATTCCCACTCATCTGCTGCCCACCTTAAAAGGAAAAAAGGAATAAAATGCCATCACAAGTTTTACCATTATCCAAACTGCTGCCAGTTCAGTTAGTTCTTAGCATGTTGGTTTTTGTTGCATTTTTCTGGGGGGGAGGAAAGAGGGGTGAGGAGGATGGGAAGGGTAGGGAGGATGAAAACACTCAGCAAGATCATACACAGATAAAAAAAACAAAACAAGAAAACAAAAAAGCAAAGCACATCCTTTACACAAGATCTCCAATCTAGAAAGCTATTAGCATTGTACTAAATTTGACTTGGGCTCATTTTCACCCCTACCACAAGGAGCAATCATTTGTATTCTTATGCATGACCAACTTACAGAGGCCGTGTGCATTCCTGAAGATTGCACATTCTACGAATGGGCTTTGGCTTTTTGCTGGCTTCACAGAAGCTGCGATGAACCATTTTGTTATCACTTTTCCTGCGGCACCCATATTTGGTATACTGGAATCCTGAAAATATTTCAGAAAAATTAGGAAAAGCAGACTCTTGTTAGAAATGTTTTTTTTTTAAATATAACTTTCAAGTACGATTAAATGGTTTTATATGACAGGTATTTACAAGGTATTAAAACATGCTCACAATTTGTTCCATTGTCAGGCATAATATTGTTGCAGAGTGCTGTTTGGAAGTTGTTTAAAACATGGCACCATGGTGGGTATATATGGCCAGAAGGGACTCTAGGACCTTTTAATCTCTGCACTGTGCACACAGATCATGGTACAGAGAGGGGAGAAACTACCTCCTTAACATCAAGCAGCAGGTCACTTACTAATTGGGGAATGAACTCAAGACCCAGGTCACATTTTAGCATTCTTGCTACCCAAACTACCTGCTCAACTGCTCTACATAGGAGTTAAAGTTAATTAGAAATTTACATTACCCATTATTTGCATAGGAATAACACTCTATAAGCAAAGTGAACGATCAGTAGCAAAAAACGGCTGAGTACATGCTTTCAAAGTGACCTTGGGTGCTGAATTTAACACCTAAAAAGGACTACTTCTTTCTAGGCTGGAAGTGTGACGCTTTTGAATAATCAGACACTTAAGGTATTTTAAGTTTGGGCACCCAAAATAACAAGCTGTTTCTAAAATGGAAGCTCAAGATTTCTAAAGCATTCACTTCTCCCACCTTTTACTCTTCCACTTCTGGTAATTTGTCATTACTAGAGGGTGCTACATCATCTGTTTACCTCCACCACAGGGTTTGGAGCACTGTGACCAACTTTTCAACGCCCACTCAAAAGTATCTATTTCCTCCTGTAGGACGTTGTTGCTGTTGATAGTTGGTACTGAATCCTCGTGAATGATGTATTTGTAAGTCAGGCTAGATCTTGTGTCATTCTCCCGAGGAATGATCTATTAATAATCAAATGCAAACAGTGGTAGAAAACCAAAGCTATTATTTATTCTGTTGCAGAGTAAAGAAACTACAGCCTCTTAGGGAAACGTGCAAACTGCTGGTTAACTAATCGGGAAAAAAAGGTTTTCTTTTTTATCTTCACAGCTATAATTAACAACAGTAAGATCAACAGAGCTGTTTAAAATGAGATGTCTTTATAATGCTAGATTTATTGGTAGGCCAAGTAAGACACCTATACCTAGGATGAAATGATGCTGTGGTCAAGTGATCTACTTGGCAAGAGATCAAATAGCGTAATGCCTGTTTTTGTCCAAAGTGTCCCACTCACATCTGAGAAGACATTATTGGAACATTACTGCTGCATGAACAGACAGCATTTTACCAAGGAGAGTAAAAGCTAGTGAGAAAAGGGCTTTAGCCTTCAGCTGTCCCATCTGCATAAGTCTTTCAGAGAGGCATTACACAGCAAGATCTAATCTTGGCACAATCTCCATGCTGGCCATGCACTTCTGTAAAAGACAAAATCACTGTGTTCCCACTGTTTGGCATATAACCTACCAGGACAACCACTGCATCATGCAAAGGCCCATCAGTGTGCAGAGTTTCTATGTCGTCTTCTATATTGTATTCCCATTCCACACCGAGGTCGATGAAAGATCGGGATCTGGCCTCCTCCCCTTTTCCATTCAGAATATAGTGTCCTGTAGCCTGGTTCTTAATTGCTGAAAGGATTGAAAAGAGTGACAGTCGTGCCTCTTTATCATATCATCTCCAGTCATGAAGGCTTATGTGAAACTTGTCAGGACTTCTCAGACATTACAGAAAGCCGCTTGAACAAACCCCACCAGCTAGTGCTGTAGATGCACTTGCACAGAAAAAGGCCCTCCAAGGCCACGCCATGTTCAAATTCCAGACTAATGATAAGTGCATCTGCATTTTTGATTCAATTTTGTACCACCTTATTCATATGAATTAGGTACAGAAAGTACCTCTTCACATGTAATATGCATGTTTTCTGTACTGGCATGGTTCCCAAGAAGTATAGGTAGCAGCAAGAAACTCAGGTCAAATCCTTAGAGTCTCTTGTCCTCCTTGTTTGCAGAAGACCAAACCCAACTCTACTGGGAACACCCATTAGTGTAACAGACATCTCAGCAGACTACAGATGCATTTCTTATACTCCTCGGATTATAAAAGTGACACCTTTTTTCACACTTCAGTTTCTTCGGCATATGTATGTATGTGCCAGATGCTAAAATCAATAAGCAAAGAGTCAAGGCATTCAAACCTCTGGGAAACTGTTCCTGCAACACATTTTGCAAATCAGGTCATGTCGGGATTGGATTACAAGCCGATAAATTAGACATCTAGAGAAAGACTTTCATTATTTTCTTTTGTACATCCTTTTCTAAATCACCATGAAACACGATTTAAAAATATGCCAACATCTTACATGCTCCTATTATTATAGCAATCAAAATGCAAAAGTTTTGCAGTGTAGCTACTTAGAAATTTGATAGAACTACTTACTACCAAAACAAAATGATTCTCTCAGGGGTACTATCACATTGTGCTTGGTCAAAATTGAAGTTCTCAAACTTCAAAAGCCAAGAATTTTTCTCTCTGACATTATGACAGCCTTAACTATTTCCTCTCTTCTGTTTTCTTTTTTTAATTTCTTTTTCTGTTCTTACCAATTTTTTAATAACTGATATAACTCTGCCTGAAGAGTTTACAATTCAGGGCAGATAAAAAACTGATGAAATGTACGTCAAAATCAATGAACGACCTCATCCCTTCAGTGTAAGCTATAAATCCCTTAGGCATTAGACAGCAGTAAGTAGCAAGTTACAAACTGATATAACAATGATATGATCTTCCCTACAAAAGAAAAATCCAAAATGAAAGGGACTGAAAATACATCAGAAGTTTCCCAGTCTTCTTTTCATTAAAAAAGCTGTTGTTTGCAAACTGCAGCAAATAAGACACTCAATTGATACTCAATAAGATACTCAATTGAAGATACTGAGTTCACATATTAGAATGTATCTTTTTTACCTTGATAGTGTCATTTAAATAAGAGTGATGAGAGTCTTTTATTAGTAAACATGCAAACTGGGATCAGTCTAATATTTTGAGGGATTCATATGAGAAGTAAATTTGATTACTAAGCTGACATCTTCAGTCTGTAACATGCAATTCTGAATGCAGAAATTTACCTTTACTACTTTAGTTTGGTTCTCATTTCTCAGGTTCTTCTGCATGACTGCCCATGCTTCTCATCATGCCTCAAAGACAAACCTGAGGGAGGAACTTACCAAGAAAATGAGGAGAAGCCTCGTCTTCTTGGATAAACACATGTCGAGCACCAGGAGGGATGTCAAACATCTTAAGGTACCCTTTGGCATGTGTAGTAGTCAATGGAGAAAGCAGAGGAGGAAATAAAAAGTAATAGCCATGGTTAGGAGTGCTCTACATTATTTAGCTTCTACTTGCAGAAGGGGGCATCCACCAACTGAGAAGCAATGTCAGAAAGAAACTGATCAAATAGCTTTGTAACATATTTGACAGGACCTCTTTGTGTTTTTCCTCTTTCCAGGAGTAAAGAGAAACCAGTTACAAATCTATTTGTCTCTTGATTAGCTATATTGTTATAGGTCATATTAATTAACAATTCAGGCAAAAAAATATGTTTCCAATGTTTCTGAGTGTACAAGGGAGAAGAACGATTCTTCCTGATCGTTTTTTTCCAAATCACTCATCAGCCAGGCTGTGGGATTTGAGTTTACTTACTGTACTGATACACATATGTCTCTTCAGTGTGTCCGTTTACTTTTGAGACATCAGGAGATGGAGAAAGGTAGGTGTAGTAGATTGTATTGTCACTACACATAAGGAAGGGCTTGTCTACATGGAAGTTAATCCAAACACTTTAAAACTACAGATGTAAAATGTATTAATTCAAATATTACTGCTGAAACAAAAGGGCTGAATTCAACTCTATGCAGTTAAGAATAAAAAGCTGTCCCCAAAGACAGTAATTCATATTTTAAATTTCAATTATGTATCTCTAAATAATTAGTGTAATGTTCAGTATGTCGTACTGTCATTCAGGAAGACTAAAATCCATCTTGAGAACCTGTCAGCAGTCACTTCTATTGTAAGTTTTAAACAAGAACTACACAAGCACTGAAGTGAATCTAATTAATTTGATGTAAGGATGCAAAACTCTGAGTGTATGGCACTTTCATATTTCTGTATTTTCCCTTTAATGTCTACATATTCAGTTATGATGAATCTCCTTGGATCCATTTTTAAAGAATGAAGAGCCACATATGTGTAATGTCATGGATTTGGCTGATGAGAGTCTGCAAAAACAGCATTCGATGATCTTTTTACTGTCCATCTTTTGAGCATATGAAACACAAAGCTTTTGCCTGATTTGGTGTTATGTGTCAGTACCTTGTTGGAGATGAGAACTGCAGCAAGAACTCTCCAGTTGCCATGGATGCCTCTTTCTACAAGCACTTGAACTTACCCAGAGTATTTTTAGACTCCTTTGTTTCAGAAAGGGAAATATTGCGAGCTCCTTTGGGCAATGTAAATGCTCCTCTCGTTTTCCCTTAAACAGAACGTCTATAATTAGTGTTTTATGGGAGCCAAGTCTTGTTATTTCATTGACTACATTGTAGGCCAGATGGTCTTAACAAATATAAAGTATAATTTACATTATGTGTTCAAATGCACTTAAAGCAGCATTAGACACATCTAGCACATTTTAACAGTCAATGAAATTTAGACCACTGAAAATTCAGGTAGGTGATTTTAAGTTGGATACTTGCAGATTTCATTTTCCAGAAACTTGAATTCTTTTTGGCACCTCTTGCTTAAATGTTTTCCTGTTGGAAGAGGTCAATTAGTCTTTTTAATGACTAGACTGCCACAGATACTGTAAAACAATAAACATTTCATAAACGCTTTCATTAACATTTGGCTTACTAATAGCAGTATTTCCTGAACTGTATTTCTCATACTCTCTATCACTTAGAACTGTAGTGCTTTCCAGACATTGAGAACACCGTGAAAACACCCAGCAATGTGCTGTCAAGACAATGCAGTTACTTGGTGGTTCCCAGGCAAAAATACTGAGCCATTACACGATGGGGTTAGTATTATATTTTGCCCTCTGTTGACCTCTCATTTGCCCTGTTATCTCCTAGGGAGTAAGCCAAACCTCAAGTTTAGGCTGTACATCAACTGCAAGCTATAATTTGTAAACCACTGCTATAGAATACAGAAACCAGATGCACCAGAAAAAATTCTACTGGACTGGATCCAGAATTGTGACATGAATATTCCCTCTGGTCCCAAAAATACAATCATTTACTTTTAGTGAAAAAGATTACAACTATGCTGATCACAGTTTGGGTTTTTTTTTCTGTTTGTTTTCAGAAAAGCACAGTGACTGCCAGCTCAAGAAACATACAGGCCTGTATAAGAGGCTCAAATTATAATCTTAATGCCATTACTCCCCACATCACAGTAATTCTTGTGTAATTTCATGTCTTATCCACCAGTTGCTTTTATCACTTTAAGAAAGGTCCTCTAATGGCACTTGCAGCTGCAAGCTGTAAACCTCTCCAGTCAGTTTGTAATTAACATGTATTTTCAGCAGAATATTTTACATATTTTTTTTTCCCTTTGCACATTATCTTTGTCCAAGTTTAGTTTGGTTAATCACTTACTGTCCAAATGTAATTACTGATGCTGCAATAAAGCTTGCTTCGTGGCAGCAACTACCAGTTTTTAAACTCTTAATGTAGATATCCATATTATCTGTCCCTAAGTCTTTCTCCACTCTATCTTAAAACATTTAGTTCTATCAAACAGATGTCCCTGAAATAGCTGCTACCAGTCATACAGGAGATGCATATTCCTGAGTACCTTCCCCAAACTGAAATAAAAGCAATATAGGAAAGTCTTAAAATACACAATATTCTTAAATATATGTGTATATATATATATATGTATGTATGTATGTATGTATGTATGTATATAAAACATTATACTGCCCTAGCTCAACAAATAATTGACCAGATAGAAATTTCTGAGAAGACCCAGGGGTCTTGAATTATTATAGATAAGAGATGTGTTATAGAGTACCCCAGTCCAGTCTGAAAACTTTAACCAGGTTAATGTCATCATGTGTTTCATTGGATGTAACAACTTAAGAGAAATGAGGGTTTCTGCCAAATGTTTCTGTCTTTGATTTAGAATTAAGTTGAATTTATTTTTCATTTATTTATCTGACTAAAAGGCTAGAATCTGTGAGAAGACTGATCTGACACGAGAATCCACATGTTCATATGAAAAGAAGTTCAGAACTTCACTTAACAACTCTTGAGTTTAGGTTTAAGAAGAAAAACTTATGAATAGCTTACACTTCAAAGGGAGGAAAAATATTTCTTCTAGTCCTCCTACAGAATAAGGCATGCTATACTTAGCATCAGGCAAAGAATCTCAATTTCTTCTGAATGTCACTGTTAGGATAATAGTTCATTTTTTTGGCAGAACTCAGTATCCCCATTTAGCACCAACACTATCTGTGGGCTTCAACATTTACGAAGAGCTAAACATGCTATGCTTGGGGAGTATTTCTAGATACACTGCACAAATGGAGTTTTCTTCTAATAGGTCCTTCAAAAGACAGAAACATTACAGTGTTTTAAAGGATCTAATTTCTTTATCAAACACTAAACCATTCTGGCACATCAAGCTAAAATTCTTGTTTTGCTACCTTGAAGTAAGCCACATTTCTGATCAGTCTTCAAAAACAAGAAGCATGACAGAAACATATGAGATAATAGAAACTATATTCAGATGCATGAATATGTTATTCCTACCAAGCTTTTTGGGAGTGCGGGTAAAGGTTCCTTTCACTGTTCGACAATGGGAGTTATCTCCACCACAGACGCCACACTTATCTTCAGCCTTATTAGAACCAATTTCCTTGTCACAACCCACTTTCTGCAGAATGAAGAGCAAAAAGAAACATGGCTTTATCATAAGCTGTAAGGTTTAGCTGTAGAGGGATGCAATCTCAAAATCAATGCATAGAGGAAATTACTACCCAACACTGCTCTATTTCATTTAAACACAAATTACTTGAAAGCCTGTTGCTGGGTAATGGTTGCCAGGTGAAAAACAGGAATTGATTCTCAGATTATATCCACTGTACATCAAGACTAGGAAAGATGGAAAAGAGAAAAATAGGGACAGTTCCTCTCAGATGCAAAACGAAGTGGAAAAATGGCAAATGAAATTATCAGTTGAAAAAAAGTATATTGTTTCCGTGGAATAGACCTGTGTCATTGCTCTAATATAATTTAATTCTGAAATAATTATAATGAATATGATGCTGCAAATATTTCAAAGCATCTGCAAAGTCTATCTCTTTTTCTCTGATTGCTGCTTAACAGTTATTTAACACAGCACAGTCCAAACTCAGCAAGGAGCTTGAGAAGCTGTCACTCACCACACATTCTCCACGAACACAAATGCTGTAGGGATCTTTATATGAACAGCGAGTCCCATCATGTGCCAATTGTTTCATATAAGCAACATCTCCCGTTTCTTTGGACTGGCAGTACAGGTGGCATCTCTTATTAGCTGCATAGCAGGAAAACAGATGTAACTGCATAAGTTAAAAGCAATTCAGATGAGTTTCAGAAAAACATCTCACTAAAGGCATAAAGAGAATATTACAGAGATAGAAGGGACCTTATGCGGACACCTAGGAGGGAAAAAAGTAACTAATTTGCTGTTGTGTGAATTATGGCCTATCACTATCACAGATACTCTCACAGAAATCAGATTGCTTCCAAAGAGGCTCCTAGAACTGGATTCCCCACCATTCTTCAAGTAGCTTTCAGTTTGATTCTGTTGCAACAGTGCTGAGTTTAGGAAATCACATCACATGAAAGAATAGAAGATTTGGATTTCAAATTCTTTTAGCCTTTTGGAAAATCCCAACTGAACAAATATTTCATTATCACTACTTGAATCTGATCCCATAGCCATGCATATGAAGAGTTTCAAAGGAGATGCCTGAGGAAAAAATACCAGCAACTCAAAGCAGCTCTGAAACCTCTTTCAGCAAGCAATGAATCTTTATGCTTGAAGCTGTCCTTTTTACTCAAGATAACTGCTGGATTATATTAATGTTAGGAGTGAAGAGTCAGGCTCAGGTAGATGGACCTGTCTAACAATGGGAAAATACTAAAAAGAACTTCTCAAATAGAACAGTAATCAGAACACTATTACAACTTCCAGTGCAATTTCCTAGCAGCAGTCCTCATCGAGCATTAACATTTTGCACTCATATAGATGAACAGCTGTACAGGAGAGAGGGCAAGAAGAGTCCTTCATGATCTGAGCAGCAGCTTTCCACACTTGGCCCCAACAGCAGAGCCAGAGCTTCACAGTGCACTGCATTAATTGCTATGGCACCCACCAGCTATTCCATCAGGAGCTGAGAGGCTCTATGCCTCTTGCTACATCCTGTTCTCACTAGGAAGAGGATGAAAGTCAGAGGAAACCAGCTGGGCTAGGGTTGGTGAAACTACAACTGTCTCACACTGCAACTATTCCTTTACCCTGGGCCATCCTCTTCTGCTTTTTAATCATACCTACACTTTTCTCACACTCTACATGGCAAATGAAACAAGACCCCCCATAAGATCTGTGAGATTCCAGCACTGACTTGTAATAAAAGCAAACAACAGAACTTACAGTCAGGGTGTTCATATGGCAGCCAGTGGTGTTTGCTGTTCTGATACTCAAAGTGGGAATTGCGTTGCTGACACTGCTGCGCTCTGAAGTCCTCAAAGTGCTTCGGACACTCTTCCGTATTACAGAGTTGAAACTCAAAATTGACACCAACACAATCTTCACCTCCATTAATTGGCCTGGGAGAAGAAAACATCTGTGAGATTATAAAACCCCCAAGGCTCTGGGTCTACAATTTTGTCATCAGTCTTAAGTGGAATTTCACACTCAATTCTAAAGAGACAATTTCACTAAAAAGGAGTGTGAACTGACAGAGCTGGAAACAAAGCAGTTTTCTTGCACGCATATGCACTTGCAATGTAACCTCTATGCTTGCTCAAATATCCCAAAGGCATATCCTGACATGCAGAAACAATACATATACACATCTATGCTGCCAATAGTTGATTTACAACTGGAGACCATCTAATAGTTTATCCCACATCTTGTTGAGCTTGCACTCTATGTTCTCTTCACTCTCTTACACATCAGTTAAATTTTTCGTAGGATGGTTTTCCATAGGCTTTCCTCTGAAAATTACTGGATTCACTAAAAATGATCCTGGCTCCCTGCAAAAGGTGATGTTTCAAGGGGCTTGAATACAATGTGAATCTTAGAGATTCCATCTCAAAACATAAATGCCATTTCAGCTGACACCTGCAATGATTACCAGTTGACTGGAACTACCACCAAGGCAGAAGACCTACATTGGATTGTTGCACTGGCGCGTTCGGAAGCGAACTCCAGTTCCACAGGTTCGTGAGCAGGAGCCAAATTTTGTCCAGGGTCCCCAGTTGCCATCCTGCTTCAGCTGGTTAGCATTCTTCCACATGCAGTGACCTTTGTAGCACCACTGAGAGAAAACAGGCATGGAAAGCAGAGGAGAGCAGAAACAAAATCAAACCAAACATATAATCACAATAAATTTAAAAGTGCATAGAGGAGAGCTCATGGAGCAAAGAGGGTCTTCGTACTCTGGGTCCAGGATTGCCCAATCCCTCTCTTTCATGACTGTCTGTTCCATGGATAAGCAGCAGTGCCACATCTGAGCATGTATCTTTCCATGGGCAGAAACAGGAAGACCAACATGTTCCAATGTTCTTTTGACTTCATTTAAGTCATTCTTTGTCTCATATGAATCCCAATTCCTACCATTTTTAAAAGGAATTTTTATGTTCTGACTACTGTATCACAGAATAAGGACCTTGCTGAAGATCAGCAGCTTTTTTTTTCTTTTTTTTCCTCATATTCAAACATTATATTCATGCAAACAAGATGCAACAGCAGGCTAGTCACTAGTCAGCAAGTTTTTTGGCTACTGGTTAGGGCATTTCCAGACATCATAAGTGGCTCTCCTGTAGCTGAAAATACATGGGATTTGTTAAATAAACATTTGCTTGAGTATAATTGTATAATCAAAAATGAGTTAGCAGCAGAACATTCTCTAACGTTAAAAGACAAAATTAAAGAGCTAATCCTAAGCCTGTGCAAACATTTAGCCACAGGATGTCTGGACCACAAGTACTAAGAAGAATTTGGGGCTATGTACTCCCATCCTACAGTGATGCTGTCATCTGCTTCCATGGATTCTTAATGACACTTTAAGGACACTTTGCAGAAGAGAGAATAATTTAAAAAAAAATAATAATAAAAGAAACATAACAAAAAGGCTACAGAAGAAAATGAGAGTGCCCTACACCTCACCTATGATTTTAACACCTCACCCTCCAAAATTTAGCCTGCGTAACAGCCAGCTTTGTACATTTCAAAGAAGACAAAGTGGGAAATCACAGCTCACACTTTTTCCTTTCTTTGGTGCCACCTGGGGGGATGCTGTGCAATTGTCTATTTTCCTGAGTGCTTTTCAACCCAAATTAACGCAACTGATTGCGTTTCTTTTTAATACATTGTGGAAACACAATACTCACTTTTCCAGGGGCACATTCTGTCCCATCGAGTGGAGGTCCTTTCTTAGTCTTACAGAAATATGGGTTATCTGGATGGCTACACCACAACTGCTTGCACGGATCAAAGGTTCGGAACTGAAATGCAGGACATTTATGAAATGAAAAATAACATTAAGTTACTGATACTTTTTGGGTAAGGATTCAAACTAACCAGTCAGTTAATCTAGCACAACCACCAACAAGTCAAGTATCTTTGGAAAGAAAAGGGCAATGATTACTCCCCACATCCTCTGGTCCTGAAGGAAGGAGGAGATGTCTTTCTTGGGATCACAGGCTTGCTGCCACAAGTCTGTGTCATGTAGACCACGTTGCTATCCTCTTGACCATCATACCAAATGACTCAGACAACTGGCTCTGGCTTTCACCCATAAATATCTCTCTCCTTCTTTATGTATCTGCTTAAACTACTCCATTAACTACTCTTTAACTGTGCGAAAATGAGTACGTTGCAACTATTAAATAAGGCCAAACACCAACTTGCTGAAATGAATGTTTGTTTTTGCAATGACTGCCTTGGACATACCGCTGTGCACATTTTATAGCCAACACCAAAATCAAAGCGGCACTGTTCATCCATGGAATAATTGATGCCTGGCAGTTCAGGGAGCTTGGGCCAATCATGTTCAAAAGGGTCGTCAAGAAGACAGTCGTAAGAGCTGTGGAAAGATGCATAGAAAAAGATAATGAGAAAATGTAGTAATTGTTTTTTTTTTATCAATACGATCAAACTCTTTATTCTGAGATGTCAATATTGACAATACTCATTTTCTCAAACCCGTTATTGTTACCTGAAGCACTAACAGTCCCTTTTCTAGGAATACTGCTCAGTGAAATGTGACTAAGCACTGGATGGGAAGATCCTACAGGAAAATCCCTGTATTTGCTGGAGGCTGAGAAGCATCTCCTGCCCTTCCCTGATCTAATGGTACATGCAGAATTTGCACTTTGTTTTCCTGTCACCAGAGGCAGAAAACAAACACTTCTCAATTCTCAGTTCCAAAGGGCAACATTTCAGTGTGCTTCAGACTATAACATGAATCCTAGTGTAAGGACTAACACAACACCTTCTGTAGTCAGAGAGAGCCTTTCCACTGACTTTATGGGGCTTTAAAATAGAACAGTAGTCTGAGAACAGGCCCTCTTACCTGAAATCTACAGCATACACAGGGACAAAACACAGGTTATGCAAAGGGCAAGAATAAGGCCTTCTTTTTTACTCATTCCTGTTAAACTCTTGGTGGGCTGCTCTTCCTGCACAAGGATAAAATTCCATTTTAAGCTTGAAGGTCTTGATGTAAAATTACTATTTCATGCTTTAGGTTACTAATGGTATTCCTCACTGGAATCCAGGCCATAGTGGGTCAATTTAAGTTTTCACTCAGTTCTCACTTGCAAAACCAGTTATTTGCAATAAAGGACTAAGAACTGGATGAGGAAGCATCTACATGGGAGACTATATACATAAATACAGGTAGACATCACTCCTATACTCTCTGTTCCCCTTTTCTCCCTAATTCAGTCACATGCATGCTGCATTTTCTTTCTTCCACAAATTTTACTAGTTCTTCTCAGGTTATGGCTTCATCTTCCCAGTTTCACAATACAACTTGTACAGAAATAAAAAATGTATATGAAATAAAATCTTCCAGACAGACACCCGGTACCATTCCCAGAAGATGCAATGAGTGTTGTGTAAAATTGTAAGTGAGGATGCACTGTTCCTGATTTTGCTTCTGTAATATAGATGCATGGCAACAAAGGTGATCAGAAAACTGTATTACAGGAGAGTCAGAAATGGAGGTACCTATTCCTCACTGCTGCTGCAGTGATGGACAGGGAAGCCTACTGGAATTCCTCCATACACTGAATATCTTTCTGGAAGGAGAGAGCAGTCTACACAAGAGGATCCCATTCCTTGCTATCTCTGAAGCCTCAGTACCACCATGTTTATAAAAGGGACTTCCACAAACAAGAGTTCAATTTATGACACCTGAGGATTGTTTCTCTTTGCTCTCTGATGGAGAGCAGCCGACTGGCCCCACATCTCAGGGAACTGCAAAGACTTCTGTTTCCTTTAGTAAAACCACCATCAATGAGTGCTAATAAGTTCTTACTGTATATATCTTTTGAGTTCTTGGCCACTGCATCTGGACCAGTGGTAACGATGAAAGGCAGCCTGCACCAAGGGAGCCATAACACTCCCCATTGCTGTCTCATCCCCACATCTGTTCCCTTGCCCATCATGCTCCATTCCCAGCCTGAAACAAAGAATTGGTATAAGAGCCTCAGCAGTTTCTACTTTTCAACTGGTAAAACAGCTGTAAAGAAAACAGTTTCTCATGCAAATGTAGTCAATCAAGATGAAATTGTTCTCTGTATGCTACAGACATCACCTGCATTTCAAATAGATCTTTGATGTCAAAATATAAGGACTCTCTAAATACTCTTTAGAAACTAACTAATTAGATGATGATTTCTACATTGGATAACAGAAAACAGCAATTCTGCTCACCACTGAGCATTTCATTCAGACATTTAAATATCCATGACAGTACACTCATTTATCAAAAGCACCTACTTACAAATTGAGCTAACATGGTTGTAATGCTGTACATCCTAAGAGCTAACTAGGTTAGCATATTAAATTTTCAAAAATGTGCATCTGGTGCAGCTTATCGTGCAAGTGACATGGTCACCTCACATTTGGCTAAACTCCTCCTACATTACTCTGGCCAAAAACAACAACAACAGAGCCACTGAGTTGAACAAGAAGCCTGTGCTACTTAAAGACAACATTAATTCATCCAGCAGTTGACAGAGATCTTTCCCTGAATCAATTATTCTCTGCCTAACATTTTATCACTCCGTAAGAAGTATCAAATTAACAAATCAGCACTTTCAGTCAATGAGAAGAAAGAATTTTAAGAATTCTTGGTAAGCTACTGTCTCCACTGCCTGAGTTTTCCAGGTTTCTTTCTTAATTATCTCACCATCACCCTACAGAAAATGAGTTCCTGCTCTCTCTTTCTCTTGTCTTCTTCCCTCACTTACTTATTCACTGCTAAAAACCACCGAGCATTCCAAGAAGATGATAATATTATTTGGATGGCTGTCATATAGCCATTAAAATTAAATCACTTTAAGTAAAAAGGAGATGCAGCACCATACTTTGTTGTTAATCTAATTTTATGTTCGACTTACACGTGACCAGTTTCATGAGCAACAACAAAAGCTGATGAAAACCCATCCTCATGGTTGAGAGTACAGCTTCGGACCGGGTGACACATGCCAGTAACAGGAGCATATCCTATTGAGAGAAATCATGTCTGACTCCTTTACCCATTACATTTCATAGAATCATAGAATGGCTTGGGTTGGAAGAGAAATTAAATCCCACTCAGTTCCAACACCCAGCTGGTTGCTACCCACCAAATCAGGCTGCCCAGGGTCCCATCCAACCTGGCCTTAAGCACCTCCAGGGGTGGGGCATCTGTAGCTTTTCTGGACAGCCTGTTCCACTTGACACCCCAATAAATTTACTACCAGAGAAGAACCAAGGATTCTCTTCCTCTGATTGTCAGTTTCTCCTGTCTTTGCAACTCCTGTCAGTGTTAATGGCTCTGACAAACTAGGTTTGATTCTGCATACATCTAGATTACTTCAAGCATTTACACTCAAAAAAAATGCAGAAGATTCCCATTCAATTAAAAGACAGAGTTTTGTTCATTTGTTTGTATGTATTTATATTAATACCATCATGTAATTACTGCTTACTACATATTACATGCCTTGTCCTCAGCAAAAGCCAAAATCTTTCTGAAGGTGGGGAGACTGCCTAAGATCTCATCAAGTCCAGACACGAGTGAGGACTCAGGATTCTTGCCTCACCCTGAAAAATGAAGGAACTGAACAAAGACATCTACAAAATCTTTAGCCAAATGCTCAGAACATGGCACGTTTTTCAAAAAGCTATGTGAAGAAGCAGAGTCATGCCTCAACCAGTAAGAGCTCACCAGTATAAAATCTGAAAAGCCTTCTTAATAAAGGGTATTTCTGACTAAAAGCAGGTCACTCTTGCCTTGTACTAAGCAAAAATTGGCAAACTCTGGACATTAGACCTGAATGATACCATGCTAAACCATGTATCTTATACTGCTTTTCCACAACTAGATAATGAATGGGGGCCTTTTTTTCCAAGAGAAGTTGCAGAATTTGTGTCAAAGGCAAAGAAACTGGGCATAGCACTGGAAGAGACTATGAAGGCTGACAGAAAGAATGAAGCCAAAGAACCATTTGCAGAGCAGCACCAGAGCTGGGCGTGTGGCTCAAGTATCAGGAGGAGCTAGAGGATTTCATCTTTCTAGCGACAGATATAGAGAACATTCAGAGAGGAAGCAGTGTGCTTGAGGAAACTGAGACATAGAAGACAGAGGACATCTCTGACTGTATAGTGCTAGATTTATTGCAGTGAAAGCCATCACATTTAGTTGGACAGCTTTGTTTCAGAAACCGCTCTGTTTTCTAGTCCTTTTTTTCCACCTGCAAGCAGAAAAAAGAAGCACAGAAAACCACAATGCTTCTGCTAAGAGGAGCCCTTAGTCCTACCACAGACCACAGCATACAAGATGAGTGCTAGTTTGGTCTGGGTAAATGATTATAGGGTGCATATTCTGAATGCAAATACATGAAAACCAAAGAAATGAAAAACGGGGCTAGTTTGCAATGCTGCACAGAGCAGTAACACTTCAGGGGTCTCACCCAAACTCCAATTTTTCTGCACTGACATAAATCATGCTTTGTGAATTTACTTTCCATTATCATTAATTCCTTGAGTGAAAAGGACAAATGCATCTATCAAATGAGCTGAAAAACTAGTTATAAGAAAAAAATCTATTGTGAGTGATGCAGTAAAATAAAAGCAAAGTGGAATGTATAGTGTACTGAGAATTCCTCGTATGCTCTGCATGCACATGCAAAAATATGTTTGTCTGAAGAAGGCAACAGTTATTTAGATACTATAAGGTAAGATTTAATCTGTTGCAGTTAGATATAACTGGCAAGGACTACCTGCTTTTTAAAAAAGCATGCAAAATGAAATAGAGTGAATACTTTCTCTCTACAGTGTACTAGCAAGTACATGCTTAGACTGTCCATATGGACCTTTTCTAAAGCCAAAATAGGAAACTGAACGTTATTATGAGTGTACATGCTTTCCTGAACAGGATCAGGTATCAATCTATCTTTAAAATTGAACACTTCAGGTATTTTCTGAATCAATGCCTACATTCCTTAATCTCTCTGGGCCACACAACAATGCAATTTTCATTTTTTTCTCCTTTTCTGTCAGGCACTAGACACACACACAAAAAACCCCGAAGTCCCAGTACTTTTGCCTCAGGTCAGCTGCATTACCTTGCATACCAGCAGGCCCAAAATCTTGCCTAGTCAGGAAGATGGCATGATCATGGTGCTCAGAGTGATTGGGGTCTGACTTCTGCTGCTGGTACGCCCAGCGGCAAACATTCTCCAGGCTTCTTGAGGGATTCCCCCTTTCAATCAAGCTAATGGACTGAAAAAGCAATATATTAGAACCAGGATCTTCTAAAGGTAAGAAATTCAGTCAAGTTTTGATTTTCTTGAAGAACCAGCCATGTTCCTGTTTTTCCTTCCCTATTTCCCTATCAGTCTAAGTCATAGATATGAGAAAAGAAAATGAGTAAGCTGGACATTGGCTGATCCATTAAAGAGGACTGATATACTCTCCTGGCCTTCTTGTCGTAGATCCCCAGGCAGAGCCAAGGAAACGTACAAGAGCTGCCAAATCAGAGTGCTACTGCTTACATCAATGTAATTGTATGTAACAGTGAATGTACATATGTAATAACACATTCAGGATTTTTTAAAAAGACAACGTAATGAGCATTTACATTATCTATTAAAAAACAGATAATACATTATCTATTAAAATGGTGACAAATAATGGCAACATGCCTGAATAATATCTAGATAAAGTCTGTATTGTGCAGAATAAATGTCAGAAGACAATGTGACTCAGTTTAGTTAAATGAGAGTGGAGTGACAACACGCAGCCTGTGTGGAGGAAGTGAATAACATAAACACAGAGTACAATGCCTCAACTGGTGTAAAACACTATAGCACCAGTAAATCTGTACTGATTAACACAGATTAGCCATCTGGTTTTGTGAGACTTTCGCTACACGGTATGTCTACAAACTCAATACTTCAAAAGGAAGTGACCAAATTTAATTACAAGGCAAACATCAAAGCGGCCTTTTGATTTGCTCAAATTCAATGCATGAGTTAAATGGAAGGGACATGATCTTTATCAAACCTCAAACAACACTTAAAACATTCTCATCCTGAACAACGTAACAAGTATTTGTTTCAAAACTCTCTGAATGTATTTTACCAACAATCAACATGTTGGCACAAGCAAGTCGAAGGCAGAAAATGGAGGAGTATGCTGTGACTCAGTAAAAGGAGTGTACAGCACAATGAAAAAAGGAGATAGTTACCATAGAAGACAGTGTGGAAACAGGGCACGAGCAAGTTGTGTTGATCAGTCAAGATGACTGCCACCACTAAAGTCATTTTCTTCCCTGAGGACTCATGAGGGCAAAAAGTCAGGCTGCAAGCCCAAGCCCCTGGAGTGAGACTGCAGTGGGCTGTTGTGCCCCCCACGTCCTCTCAGCCTATCCCTCAGCAGCATCAGCAGGATAGGGGCAGCACTAATGACTTCTGTCTCTTGAAGCAAGAGTACTCACAGGTACTGCACCAATCATGGCAATCTTGCATTTAAGCACAGATAGTTGGTGACATTAAGAAAATACACTGGAAAAGGAGCTTTCCACTGGAATGAATCCATCTGACAGAAATATTTGATTGCTGCAGTCTTCCAGCTTCTTAGTGATAAATTAGGTACAAAGTGACACTGCAGCCAGTCCTACACCACTCTTCACAAAAAGGGACAGTGATGGCTCATCGCAGGAATGAGGGCACACGCACATTTAGCATGTGTTGAACAAAGAAGGCAGCTCCTTGGAATTTACACTTTGGTAGACTTCTGCTCATGTAGTTCCTATGGACTATGAATACAAAGACTATGAATGCAAAGAACTGGTTCAGAGGCTTGCTTACCTTTGCATACCCCAGCATGATCATTCGGACCAGCACAACATTTATGTGAACACCCAAGGATTCATCATGGTAAATTTCATTGACCTGAGAAAATAGAAAGGAAAACTTAAAAAGAAAAAAACATGGATGGTACAAAGGGAACTTCCAAGGCCATGTATCTGTTATTTCAAGTGCTTCGACCACTAGTTTTCTCAGAGGAGGATTCAAGTCTCAGATCACTTCCATGCAGTGAAAAATGTAGACTATACTTCCTGTCATCACATACTCCCTCACTGAGAACTTTCTGAAGCACATTTCAAGACTCCTCTCAAATTTAATGGCCTTTGGATCAGAGCCAACAGAAAAATTGTTTGGGGAAAGAAAGACTACAAACCCAGCAAATACTTGTCTGAATGCTTAATTTCACTTGTTTGATAAACATAATGAGGGAAACGAAGTTATTCCTGAAAGCAAGGCTATGGCAGTACGGTCACATTCACTAAGGGATTTAAAAGCAGAGTTTGCATTAACAACAGATAAAATAATCACCATTCAGCCCACATTGCCACTTCTACTCTGCCATCTGGCCACTCTAACTGTGGATGAATTCCAGATCCTGTTCCTATTTGCTTCGTCAACCATTTGTCTCGCTTCAATCATTTTAAACACATGGGATGAGTATTTTAGTGGGGAAAGGGAGCGCATATTTTTCATTTTGTAAAAGATTCTTCTGCCAGTAGCTTTCGCTCAAGGAAATATGCCATTAAGTTCAGCATAGGTTTGTCCTCAGAAAATACTTGAGGATTTGACTTAAGGCCATTTCTGCCTTTTGAAGCTCTAGGTTGGGAAGGCAGAATATTCAGACAGTGACACGATCAATGTGACTCCATTTCTGCACACGTGTAAACATGTGTTTAGCTTTAAAGATCTGAATAATAGTCCTGATTCTAGATCAATGTTAAAATTAATGGGCAAAGTCTTTCCAAATCCCAGAAATGCTTTGGATGTTCTCATCTAAAAGTTTTAAAGTCAACAGCATTGCCAGAGACATAAACTCTGAAGTATACCTCACAGAGTAATGATATCTCCAAATACACTCGATTTCTGCAAGTCAACACATTCCATTTTAAAAGTTCACCAACTGCATGAAAGCATGTAACATTTACAGAATCTGGAAAGACTTACTATGCACACTAAAAACAACTGCTAGCCAGAGAAAACACCCATACATAAGACATACTCATGAGACATCAAAACTCTCATCCTCAAGGGCTGTAGAAAACACACAAGAAAAACTAAAATCTCACAAAGAGCCCTCACAAAAGAGTCCATGGTTTTGCATTAGGTTTGCAGAGGTCTCCAATGAGGTCCATGCACAACATTTAAAGACAGAATTTTTATTTCAGTGTTTTTAGTTTGATTTCCAAATGAAATAAAGATCAGACACTTGCTTCTTCTGTCAATGCTAGTGTCCCAGTACATTTGGGGACTGTTGAATGCTTTCCAGCAACACTTGCAAAACTATAAAGACCTCGAAGAAATCAGGTATGTAGAAGATTTGAGGGAAGTAAGCAGTTTACTGGAAATAACAATGTTACTGCTGCTCCCATGCAAGCAAATATTCTCCAAATATTCTCTGAATATTCTCCACTACACACAGGAAAGGAAGCTCAGAGTATGCACAAACACAGAAGCTTTTCAACACTCCCATAATGAGAGCAGCTTATATCCCACTAGAGAGCACAGTCATAAGACAGACATCCAGAAGTAACGTGGCAGTTCCACTGTTCACCAAACAGCTGAAATTTTTCATCGTTGTTTTAGTTTTGAATAATTTATTTCAGAAGCAACAAATGCTGCTGCTCTGATCTTTAAAGTCAGATTAGTACAAAAGTAACCACATAATTCTAAATAGAGTATTAGTAGAATTTAAAAAAAAAAATCATGTAGATGACAGGTCAGAAATTGTTCTTCTTGAGGACCTTCTTTGTGCCTGGTAAGGTGAGAAATGTCCTTTCACCAGAGTATAAATTAGGGAACTAAAACATCTGCAGCTCATCAATGAAGTTACTTATTCCCATCAAAATAAAATAAATATTATATTATGGGTAATCGGTGAAAAGTAAATACCACTGTTTGGAGCAAGGTTGGTATATTTGAGCAATATTTAGAGATTTTTTTTTTACTTAAGCTAAACAAAACTTTCCCCTTCCCCTGAGGGAAAAAGGTCGTTCTGAGTTGTCCAGTTTGTGGGACCTGGCACAATGATTTCAGTCCATGGTTTTAAAAAATGCAATCCCTTTTAGGACTAACTGAGAACAGACTGTCAGCAGGATAGTTTTACAAGAAATGAGCACATAGCTTAGACTGCTCGCCTCATGAAGCAATTATTCCAAAGTTCAATTATTCATATTTTCTCCTTAGCAATGCAATAGTATTGCTTCCACCAAAGTTCATCTCAGAAAAACGTTCACAGCTTCCCAGAAGTGACCTTCAAAGAGACATAAAGGATTCTGGAACAAACTGAAAGTTTCAAGTCTTCCTCAACACTTCTCTACAACACCTTTTTCTGTGAACTGCTTTGGAAGGATGCACTGTAGGATTCCCATGAGGAGCAAGCTCATATATGCTCTCATGACCTAGACACAGGAAATTTTGGAAACCTGTAACCTTGCTAGAAGGCCACAAATCAAAATAAGTGCTGAAAACTGTCAGCGTAGACTGTAGCGCTTTCAGACTGCTATAACTGCATCTATGCTGTGGTTATATTGGCAAAACAAATTACATTCCAAGATACTGGTACTGGTACAAAATGCATATATAAATCACACCCCAGGAAGCTTGATTTGTCTGAACTGTACTTGGGAAACATATCACAGATGTCCAGCTGGCCATACGGATTCTGGTACAGTATTTAAAAGGAAAAAGTGATTAGGTTGAATTCAATAGTAATACACACAAGAAGTAAATCAGTGCTCTGCCTGGGACAGTGGTGACAACTGGGAGACTCCACATACAAAGCGGGAAATATCTGTTTACTGAATGATGATTATTCAACCAGACAACATAAATGTACCTGGCAGTAAACCCTACAGCTATAGTAAGAAGTGCTGGAAAACAGGGATAACTGCCAACCAAGGGATTTCAGGGCTTTCGTGGATACTCACCTGTCTACACATTATGAATGCCAATGGTGAACCCACATTCCTAAACTGATGTATTTGTAAATTGCAGTGGTGACATCAAAGACACCCTCAAGCTATACTCTGCTCCCTAAAACAAAGTCGGCTGGATTCTTATTTGTCACAGAAATTGCAGCACATTCCCAGGTTAGATTGGGAGCATCTCTTGCAGTATGTGCTGGCTTTTCAAATTTGAGACAGACGAAAAGCAGATGTACAGTTGCTTTTGTGCAGGTACTGTGCAATTCCTTTTCATGGTTGCCCACCCTGCCTCCCTTCATGGTGCGCAGGCAGGGGCTATAGGTTAATCCAAAGAAATCTGCTGACATTTTCCTCTGCTCAGTCCCAGTAAGCTCCTCTCTCCTTACACCAAATGATTCATTTGACTGTCCTTGGGTTTGGGGGGCAATACAGCTTCAAGGACTTTCTGCCTTGATAAAACTACTTACTTTTCTGTGTCCGACTTGTGCAGGGGAAAGTGCAGTTTATTGATTAGCAGGAAAGTTGAGTAATTCAGAATCTAATGATGAATAACATCATCCACTGTACTGTTCGCATCACTGGAAATTGAATAGCTTGAAAATACAGCCTCTTATTGATCTACTGACTATCCACAGGTAAAAACCACTAGATTAAAAAGCAAGGAGTGAGATGAGCTCTTTATCAAAGGCTAAGGGCAAAATTAAATTAAAACTGACAAACTAATACATAGGAAAAAGTACAGAAATAGCTCTCCCAACCCATAACCTTGACAGACAACAAGGTAAGTTACAATCTTCATCACTATCTACAGAATAGGCTATTTGCTGATAAAGAACATCCCTCACTACTCACTGGAAATGTGAGAAAATGATCTGGAAATGTGAGAAAATGAAACTCAAAAATGCCTGCTTTCCACAGGAAACAAGGCTGGGAAATGACAATTCAAAGTTTCAAGTGAGAGAATACAAGCTGTCCCTCCCAACTGAACACACAATCTGTAGCCCAGTTGTCAGCAGTGAGACTGCTGCAAGCAGTTGCAAGTAGCTCCGCAATACAGTTGTGCCTCCCAGAACACCACTCAGCAGAGGGAAAACAACTGGTAGGAACAGTGCTCAGTTTGGGCTTTTCTGGCAACATTATACACATGTCCTCAAAATAATTTTTAAAAGCTTTGTATGCTTCTGTGTCTGTCATCTGCATCTGCTTTTTTTGCATTATGTTTTTTTTTTTTCTCATTTCCTGTTTCCACTGCATGTTTTTTAAGTCTTGTAACAACTATTAAATTGTTAAAATCTTGACAGGATAGCCTAGTTGTTATGAAATACCAATAAATCCAAAAAAAAAAGTAGCAATCTTCACTGTAATTGACCTACAGCTCCTGATGGATGAGGTTTTTCACCTTGCACCGTACTGTGTGGGGAAGTACTTCCAGCAGATGGAGCCATTGACGTTTAAGAAAACACAACTCCACGTGTTTCAGTTCTGCTGCTTGCAAAGCTAAACGTTTTTAAGACTAAAAAGCCAATATTCTGAAATCTTCTTCAGTGAATATTTATTTCGGAAAGGAAAAACAATACAACAGATTGTTTTCTGGAGTTCATTTCCTGCCAGCAATGCCCTGCATTAATTCATGCAAAGAACAAAGACATGCTTGTAACACCTCACATTTGTTAAATTCTTCCACAACACTGGTGGGCCAACAATCAGAATTAAGGCACAGAGGAGATGACAACTTTTAAATACAACACTCAATGACTGCTTATTGATAAGATCCCTTATCTGGCAGCAGAAAGAGAAGACTGCTTAACACAAACATCATGTTTGTGCTGATGTTCAGTGAGGTGTATGATAAAAAGAAAACAATTCCTTGCAAGTCTTGTATGATGGTTATATTTTTACTCTCAGGCATTATTTTTAATTTCAAACCTTCTGGATTCAAAT